ACACACACACACACACACACACACACACACACACACACACCTACACACACACACACACAAGCTTCCGACACGCCCAACAACAACAGCTGCAGCAGCAGCAGTAGCCACAGCAGCAACAGCAGCAGCAGCAGCCCTGGGGTTGTTAGCTGGCAGAGCTTGGGACAGTTGATGCACCTCTACCTCACTGGGTCCACCGCAGGTCGCGTTTGGCGTGGCAAGCGTCCTGGGCCCTGTGGATACCTTTGGGGTCACATTCCGCCCCGGCCCAGGAGCAGCCAGGCGGCCTCCGCCCAAGCTAGCGGCTGCGCCCAACCTCCCCAGGGGCTGCACCTACTACACGGTGGGTGACAGGCTTCAGGCTTGGTTGGGTCGTGCTTTGAGATTTCAGGCACTGGTCAATGCAGTGTGGTTGTTACCATGGACGGGATAACTTCGAGTCACGATCATTTTGTGCTTAGTGCTTCCCAGTAATGTCAAAGCAATGCTGTTGCCAACGATATCATATGCGGCCCCGCAGGACACCGCAAGCACGAGTGCACGCGATGCATCAGCCTCAACCTTGCGGTCGCGCGCGTGCTGCTGGGCGACCAGTTCAGCATCTCAACCACGTTCCTCGCGCACGGCACGCGTCATACCCTCCTTTCCAGGCCTTGCCCAGGGATTACCTGTCGGGTGTCTCTGACCGGGTCGGGGTGCCGCTTCAGAAGCTGCTGCTGGACAACCTGGACACACTGAGGGACCTGGACAGCCCCTTGGCGGGCAAGAAGCTCGCAGTGTGCCCACAGGGGGTGTCGCCGCCGGCATAGACCGCGGCCCCCGCCCCTACCCTGGCACCCGCACGGTCCCCAGCCGTTTTTACACCGTCGCCGGCAGCGCCGTGATTACCACAATCGAGTGCGGCGCCGCCGCAGGAGTTGGACCTGCAGGCCAACAGGTGGCAAGGGCTCTTCCAAGGCGCTCGTTGCATCTTGAATTGTACAGCTTTTAGGTTGGCGGGCTGCCCGCCCCGTGGCATTGGGGCGTTCCCAGACATCTGCAACGGCACAGGCTTGGCGTGCTGGGCCTGCTGGTGATCGGCAGCACATCACTGGTCGTGAACGAGTTTGTGCACTTTGGTTGCTTGTCAGCTGCCGTGTTGCACAGCGGCTGCAAATTCTTGGGGTGGTAATGATTCGATGGTGCATATGCGTGCGGCCCCACGCTGTTTCAGCTGTGAGCGCCTGAGAGGGCTGCCAATGCCTGCGCACCGACGGTGCGATGCTGATGAGCCCGCCTGCGCCTCTGGATCACTACAAGTGAGGCTCAATGGCCCACTGGTATTGATGTTGCGTCAGGGGTGTGGAGTGCACACGTGGCAGGCCTTGGCATTTCAGGGGCTTGCCTTGTGCCAAATGATGTAAAATCACATCCGAAGGACTCCTGGGACCATGGGTGGCAGCATAGCCCGCACAGCATGCAGTTGCAGACGTGGCTGGTCGGGCGACTGCTGTGGCAGTGGCACTTGACAATGTGAGCGGCACACTTGTGGCCGTGATGCCCCAGGGCAGTCACATTGGGACCCACGTGGCTGCTGCAGCGGACATACTCCAGCACACGAACGCTGCCTCCCTCGGGGGCACCCGGCGGGCATGGGCAAAGCTAGGGCTGGGCAGCCCTGGCGAACCCCCCGCCCCCCACACACACAATGCATGCTTAGCGTGCGCCGTCTTTCTGTCCCCTTTGCTCTCCAGGCAGCACCCCCCAATTGTCTGCTGCGCTGCCCCTGCAGCTGTTTGTGAACGATGTCACAGATGCCAACACGCCTCCTCCTGCAGCTTCAATCGGCACAATGATTGCAGGCATCTTTACTTTCTGCAGTTGGCAAAATTTCAGAAACAACGGTCGCATCTCTATCGTGGTCACTCGTCCAGTCTTTGGTGAAGGGGCGCGCTGCAAGCCCGTCAATCGACGGGCGGAGTCGCTCCCGCACGGTCGATCACGGCAGTCAAAGTCGAAGAGTGAGTTCCCTGAAAAACGTGCGCGGTCGTGATCATGTAACCCCTGACCCCTGCAGTTGCAAGATGGTGAACACACGTGCGTTTGCCGCTCTGCCGAGCCTATATGCCACTAAACAGGGGGGTGTAACGAGATGCGTGGCCAACAGGCCGGGGGCGTGGCCCACAGGCCACGAGCCCAATCAAGCAATCGCTTGCTGCAAGGTTGAGACCTTGGGAGCCCGGGCTAGGCGAGTCAGGGGCCGGGGGACGCCAAGGCGCGCGTGCCCGCCCGCTCGAGGTGGCGGCGGGGCGCGCGGCGCTGCAGCTCGGGGGAGCCGCGGGGCGGCCCCTAGAATGTGCCCGCAGACGAGAGGGGGGCGTGCTGCTGAAAGTCGCCGCGGAAACTGCCTGCGCAGCCGCGGCACATGTGCAGTGGCAGGACCATGCGCGAAACAACAAGATGGCGGTGCACGCACGAATAAGAGGCGCCTGCCCGCAGGCACGGGGTCAAGGTGACCGAGAGACGACAAATCTACACGCGCAACCTGGAAACTACGGTATGCGGTTCGCCTATGGCGCGGCTGCTATGCCGCACGGCTCTACTGTTGATGCGCGAACATCGCCGAGACCCGGCAGCCGCACACGGTCCGCCGCTGCGGCCGCTGCCGCCTGCAGCGGCGAGCCCCTGCCGCACGGCTGCACCCGCGCCGGCGCGCAATGCCAGCGCCGCCAGCCGCTCACGGCCCGCCCGCAGCCGTGTCCATCGCTGCCGCGTCGCCGGCGGCGCCGACGCCCGGCCACGCGTCGTCGCCGCTGTCGACCTGCATCTCATCCGGCTCGTCCTCCACCGCCAGCCGCAGGTACTCTGTGCGCGCAAACCTGGGGAACGGCCACGGAGGGAGGCACATGAGGCGTGTGTGGCGCATGCGTGGGTGTGTGGCACATGCATGGGTGTGTGGCACATGCGTGCGTGTGTGGCACATGCGTGGGGGCACATGCGTGCGTGTGTATGTGTGTATGGTGTCAGCGCGCACGTGTGAGCGCGGATCTAACGGCATCTCCTGGTATCAGAGCAGCAAGCCTGCTGCCGGCTGGCCCCAGTGTGCCCCCGCCACCCCTCGCCGGCAACACCACCGCCAGCCCCCTGCCACAGCCTCCCGCGCGCGCAGGCACGCGCCCACGGCAGGCCCCGCCGCCGCCGCACCTGTCCCAGTCGCTGACGACCTGCCCGTCCTCGCCCATGCTCTCCGCGCGCAGCGCGAAGGGGTCCCGGTTTTCAAAGGCGAGGAATTTGTGGAGGTTGAAGAGCGTGTTGAAGAGCAGCGCAGACTGGGGGCGCGCGCGGCGGACGTCCTCGAGCGTGTAAGCGCCCTCCTTGGCCGGCTGCAGCATGTCGTGAAGCTGGCAGAGCACGTCCTCAAACAGGACCTGGGATGGAGCGAGTGTGTGTGTGTGTGTGTGTGTGTGTGTGTGTGCTTGAATGTGAGTGTGTGTCTTTGTGTGTGAGAGACAGCGTGTGTGTGTGTAGGGGGGTGCATGTGTAGATGGTCGGTTGGTGGAGAGGGTGGGTGGGCAGGTGCATGGCTGGGACAGGACAAGGGGGCTGGAGCTGGCGGTGGCACGCACGTGTGGGCGGTTGGTCAGGAGGACAGTGCGGACGAGTGTGCGCCGCCGGGCTGAGGGCGCCACAAGGGCAGCGGGCAATGGGCATGGGAGCTTGAGGGGAGCCGCCCGCCCGAAACCCTAACCTCAGGCCAAGGCTCCTACCACACCAGCATGCACCCCCTCAACCAGGCCGACGCCTCTGCGCCAAAGCCGCTGCTTCCAAACCAGGCGCGCTGCGTGCGGGCGCCAATCCCCTGACCCCCTAGACCCTCATGACAGAAAAGCGCACCGGCTCCTGGTTCATGGCCTCCAGCCGCTTCATCTGCTCCTCGTAAAAGTGCCACATCTCGTTGGGCCGGATCGCGCCGTCGCAATCCAGGTCGGCGCAGCGGAACCTGCGCGCAAGGGGGCCAGGTGCCGCGCAGAGGGGGGTGCGCCCCAGGTTGGCCGGGAGCCGCGCCGCGGGTTACAAGGCCAGGCGCTCGCACCGCCTGCCTTCCCTCTGGAGTTCCCCACAGCCGCCTCCAAGCAGCATACGCACGTCACACCCACCCCCTCTCTGACCTGCCGCCGCTCCAAAACCTGACTTTTCCGGGCGCGTCCTGCTGCGCGCCCTCCCCCCTTTTCAAGGACCCGCCCCTCTTTTCGCGCTGCGCCCCAAGCCAAGAAAACATGCCCCTCACCAGTACTCGATGGCCGTGTCTGTCGTCTTGTCCTCCTCGCTCAAGATGAACCACACAAAGTCCTCGTACCCCATGCGCCCCGCCACGCCGCTGCTGAACCGCCGCGGCGCCTCCTGGAAGATGCGGTCGACGATCTGGTAGGTGAGGCAGCAGTTAGAGTAGCGCGCCAGGTCGGCGCGCTCCAGGGAGAAGTCGTGGTCGCCGTCGAGCTCCCAGAACTTGCAGTAGATCACGTAAAAGTGCTCGTAGCTGAAATACCTGTTGGGTGCATTGGTCGGTTCGGAGTGAGGGCGGGGGCGCGAGTGGGTTGGGAGTCAGGGTGGGGGAGGGTGCGGCCGCGCGGGCGCAGGCGCAGCGGCGCGGCGCAGCCCGAGGTGGCGGCCCTGCAAGATATCACGCCAACCCTCCTCACCGTGTCGCCCTTCAATTTGATGTCAAGCCCCGCCCCCTGGGCCCCACCTTTCGGCCCCTCACCGCGTCAACTT